ACATCGCCTGCTAACATCTGTCTCTGGAAAGTAGGATAAAGCCACTGTGGGGCAGGGGCTAGGGCGCTGGGCTGTGACTGCAGAGGCCCTGGTTCAATTCCTCATGCAGCCCTACAGCTCACTGGGCGGCCCTCTTTCTCCCTCAGCCTAGCTTACCTGACACAGAGCAGTTATGAGCAAGGGAGAACCCTACACACTACCTTAAGCTCCTTAGAGGAAGGGCAGGTTAAAAAAGGTGACAGAGAGAAAACATGGCAACTTGCACGTTTTTTCTTGGGGGGGGGTGTCAGGCAGTTTAGCACGGTGGAGCTTACTCCCGAGGATACCTGCTAAGAGGATGGGGCTGCGCAAAGGAACGGAGAAGCTGCTCTTGCTTTGTTTTGACTGAGCAGCGTATCCATTCCCGGTCAGGGCTCACCAACCAACATTCACAGGAAACTTCAAATTTACTTAAAGATTTGGATTGTTCAAAACTGTCACATTCTTTTTTTTTCAAAAAAGTTTTTTCTCTTTGGGCACAGAACTGTCTCCTCTCAGAGCAATCGGCTGGTGATCCCTGGCCCCAAAGATGTTTGGCTGGCTGTCCTCGACCAGAGCCAGGGCCTTTTCAGCCCTGGTGGAACTCTCCGCCAACTTCCATGAGGGCCCCACAGGACTTAATGCAATTCCGCAGGGCCTGTAAGGCAGAGATGTTCCGCCAGGCCTTCGGTCGAGGACAGCAACGGTTTCCATCACAGCTGGCACCCTCCTCCTCATCACTCCTACTTTGCCCACTCCGGCTGCCTCCTCAGCCTGCCCATGAGACAGAGGAACAGTCCAGAGTAGGTTTTTTAAACTGGATTGTGGACACCCTTTTGGAGATTGTGTAAATGATGATTGTTGAATCTAATCTGTATTTTTTCTGTTTTTAACCTATTGTAAATCGCCCAGAGCCCTGTGCACTCAGGGATGGGGTGATTCAGAAATCATCATCATCTCCAGCCCCACCCAACAGTACTTTAGAAATACTAACGACCTCTATGGCCAGAGACAATGAAATGGTCAGTTCACACCTCCAGCCAGACCTGACAGCTAGCAGGGAGAAGAGGAGGAGGAGATTGGATTTATACCCCGCCCTTCACTACCCAAAGGAGTCTCCGAGCGGCTTACAAACTCCTTTCCCTTCCCCTCCCCACAACAGACACCCTGTGAGGTGGGTGGGGCTGAGAGAGTTCTTGACAGAAAGGGCTCTTTTTCAAGAACAGCTCTTATCAGAACTATGGCTTGCCCAAGGTCATCCAGCCAGGTGCAAGTGGCGGAGTGGGGAATCAAACCCAGTTCTCCCAGATTAGAGTCCGCCCACTTAACCACTACACCAAACTGGCTCTCCTACACCAAACTGGGTTTTAACTACAAAAGGGATTTTTTTCTCACTCTCTGTCTCTCCTGCCAGAGCAGCCATGGCACAAACTGTGGGTGTGTGTAGGGGGGTGTTGCACCCAAATGTAGCCCTGTGACTACAGGGCTGATCTTAGCCCTATCTGTCATGGTCCTGGGTCTGAAGGGCCACTTTGTTCACATGCTACCCAGATCCATCCCAGTATCAGGACAGTCATGAGGCAGAGGGATCCACTTACCGCTTCAAGGTGCTTTGGACATCCTAAAGAAGGGGAAAGAAAGAAAAGTCAACAACTGCCATGGACCAAATTGGAACACACACACACACCCAGTCCTGGAGTGCGATGCATTCTAACTCCTTTTATTGTGCGTCCAGCTCAAGGATGGGGGCTGTTAGATCTTCATAAGGTGGGAGAACTTCTTCATGAGGGAATGACATTAGCAGCCACAGTGAAGCCATTTCAGAGGACAGCTGGGTGATGTGCTGCAGAAGATCTCGCACAGAGAACTCATTTCTGGTTGTTTGGAAGAGCTACCCGGGAATCTCTTATGACCTGCATCTGTCGCTCAAACATAGACATGCACACACACTTCAGAGGTTCCTCCATCCACCATCTTCTCCTGGAGCTCCCTAACTACTCAACTAGACCACCACTTCTTCTCCCACTAGTGTGATCCCAGAGCTTCCTCTAGACCTATGGTCTGTCCCAAACTGTTTACAATGGCACCACATTCCCTATTGAACAGGGGACGCACTAGCAAAGGGTATTTCAGTGCCTTCCTGGAACAGAGCCATCAGCGAACTCCACCCTCCCCACACCACCAACATTATGAGTTATGGCCTTTTGATTCTCATCTCAGCCTGAGCAAAGGAGGGCTCCAGAGAACAGCAGAAGCTGAGACAGGGTCTGGAGACTGCCTTCTCCCCAAGGGCAGTCCTACCTGCTCCTGCCACACTCTCACCTGTAGGAGATCACTGGCCGGCTGCTGACTCTTCTCCTCCATCTCCTGCACGAGGCTTTCCAGAGCGGAGAGCTCCTCAGAGAGTCTGGCCAGGAGCTGGTCCCTGTTTCTTGCCACCTCCTTCTCCACCTCTTCCACCTGGGCCAGCAGAAGTTTCTCTTGTTCCTCCAGAAACGCATGCAGCTGGCTGAACCTGGCTAATGTCTCTTGCTTCTCAACTTCGGTTTGCTTCTGACATGGAAAAAAAAGAAGACAAACAGGTCAGTGTCAGAAACACAGCTGGTCTTTGCAGTGGGAAGAGACCCTTGAGGAGGCTTCGGTCGGAAGGGCCCTTTTTGCCTTTCACAGAGATCACAGTCAACGTTCGGCAGGGA